CCCATCACGCCGCCTACCATCCTCACATGTCGCATTCGCATCCCCAACGGTAGTACTACCCTAGTTAGTACTTGAAACTATCGCTTGTCCTCCGACTCTTACCAGCTGTCCGTGTCCGATGCATCGCACACTCGCATCTGTTACATCGCCAGTTGCATTCGTCACGTCATCAGTTGCATCCGTTGTATCCATCGCTGGCTACCGTGTTCGATTCGCGTATGATCGTCCATGATCAATGACTACGGAATATCGAGACAGGGAAGAGGTACAGGGAGAAAAGAACGTGAGGTTGAACGCGTCCGTGGATATAGAGAGGAGATGCTCGATAAGAGTCGGTGTCCGCGGAGTTAGAAGACTACCGTCGCCGTCACGAACCACCGGCGTAACCGCAATTATCCGCGTACGCTTATCGCGCACGACGTCTGTCGTCGATTGACTCTGACAATTGTCGACTTCGAACGGCCGCTCCGTGTTCGCGCGATACGCGCTACGAGATTTACTCGATGTTGCGGTAGATACGTAGATTTTGCAGATGGATGTAAATTGGTTGAACGACAGTAGGTTTGAACAACACGAAGATTATCGTGTTTTCTGTATATAGGCTCGAATGGTTTCGTTATACAGCTCAACTGGATTCCATGGGGGAACTTAATCGTTCTAGCGATTTCATTAGCAAGAAGCAGGATCGGTGAAGAATAAAACCAGCTTCTGGTCTTTCTTTCAACGATCCGTGCTTCGAGCCTGTAGAAATGCTTGCTAGGTTTCTCGAAGCTTCTCTTCTGTTTCCTAGTTACTTTTCACGGCGGCAAAGGGCTCCTCGAACAGACGCCTCGGCGTCGCTGCAATTCCGTCCATGGTGCGAGTGCATCGCGTTCAAGTTAGGTGCGCGGGAACGCGTTAAACTTTTCTTTCCACGGTGCTTTGATCGTTTTTCGAGGCGTTTTAAAGAATAGACGTATTATCGTTACGGTGGATTTATTATGTTGTGTTATGCTTCGTTATATCGAGAACGCGTCGTTCGATGGACGTAAAATCGTACGTCGTTTGCAAGCTGAATAACGAATCAGCGTGACGAAGGAAGTTCCGGACGACATCCGACTTTCTTTTCCGGACGATGAATATCGAAATTCTCGATGAGGCGCATCACATCCGGTGTCAATGAAAGTACGGTTATTTTCTTTTCGTGTGTGTGTGCGTGTAGGGAGGAGAGTAGCATCTCGTACGAAGCGCGAATGACGTTAGTTACGATCCTAGAGATTAATATGCCGAACACCCGGCACGTTCACGCTTAATTTGACGTAAATCTCAAGGAAGTGAAGTTTCGTTTGATTAAAACCCTGCTACGTCATTTGGATCATCGATAGTATTTTCCTATCTTTCAAAATTGTTTAAGTTTGAGAAAAATATGAAAGAATGTTTATTGATATTTACGCGATGACTCTCGTTTTAATTTTATACGAAGATTCCCTCTAAGAACGTTTTTATTTGTAAAAGTTTATTGAAATTCGAAATTTAAAAACTTCGAAGATCGTAGCCGGACTAACAATTAGAAAAGTTGACTCAATGTTACGATCGTGTTTAACGTATTCGATCTTCTATATGAAATAGTTTTCTATATAATTTAATATCAATTGCAAGTTATTAACTATTTTCTTGGCAAAAGCTTGAAACGAAATTAAACGTCTCTATCAGGTGGTTTCATAAATCTTTCTCTTTTCCAATTCAAATAAATCTTTATATCAATGAAATCATCGATTTTCCGTGCATTCGATATGCCGGTTTATTATAAATATATTTGCATAATTTCCCGTCGTTTCTGAATTAATTTATCGATAAATCTCTCGACAAATCCGCTTCTCGTGATACGTCAATGCGAAGGCTTATGAAACGACCGAGTAGAACGCTAACAGCGAGAAAATAGCTCGCATAATTGCGTGCCAGGTGCACTAAAAAGATTTAACCAAATCAGTCGACGAGGTAAAATCGAGACTACTTATGGTAACGTGCGCTCGCGCGCGCGCTTCGAGATCCTAGTACAGTTGTTAACGACAATCAGAACGATGTTTTGCCACGGCTGGCTCGCTGGGAAGAGTTTCAGGCAATTAACTCTTCTTTCGACTCGGTATCGCAAGTAGAAGGCTTCTAAGGACACCTGTCATCCTCAGGATAGGGTCGAACAGTACTTAAAATAGCAGCTTTTCGGTACTTAATACATTAAGAACTGTTACCGTTCGATTATTATTATTCGTTGTTTCAAGGTATAATAAACGTGTTATATTGATAGGCTCAGGGAGCAGTGCTTTCTTCAAGTTTAACAAATTTAAGGGCTCGTAATAAAGACAACCCTTGTCCACGCGTTTAGCTCTCTCCAGGAAAGCAAAAGAATAGTTTAACATTCGTAATTTCTGGTCGATACATTTCACTTTTGCTATATAAATCATTCTATGAGCCTACCAGTAATACTCGCTGATGATATTCAATAAAATAATAACGTTGTGGACTATGCGATAAAAGCTTTTATAGAACCGGTTAATTTTCATTCGATGACAAGTCACGATCACTTTTTAGATCATTTTTTATAACATCGACTCCATCATAATGCGAACGTAGCTGGTTACTAGAAATACATTGTTGTCTAAAAGATCGAAAGATTTTACAAGAGTCGGTTTTGTTATGAGTCCCGCGATTGATCGACGCGACATATTCTTGGAAATCAATCGTGATCGAGCGACGCTTGTCGTTAACCGAGGCGTGTGATGGTGTTTTCAATGAAAACCGATCGGAGCGCAAGAAAACGTACGGTGTTCCGTTTCCAACGTATAAATCTAGTCCAGTCGACGCGTACTGTAAATGTATACGAGATTTACGTCCACGTTGTTTTAATCTATCCCAGTGAACAACGACGAAGATGATCGATGAATTTTTCCGACGATCCGAAATCGACCGTCCTCTTGCTCCCGACAGTTCGAGTTTAAAGAAACAATCGAAATCATGGAATTTACGATTTTTATAAATACGTTGATTGATATATAGTTTTATAGAAATATCCATTATAATATCCATAGAGCGAAGGATCGCTCTATAATTTTAATAATTAAGTATCGAGTAAGATATTTTGTAATTTGCGTGAATTTGATAATTTCGCTTGTTTCGCGATTTAAAGACCGTAAAAGACCGATTCATAAAAAGACAACGATCTCGACAGAGATGTTGCTCTCTGCTAGAAACGGATGAAAACTTCAGCTACAATCATTTTCGTTTTTCTTTTTTATGATGCTCGTGATACGAAAACGAGATTAAAGAATAAGGCATTAGGAAATTCAGAAAACGGACAATTTTAATGGCTGGATCTATACGTTAATCAAAGTCCAAAGACTTTTTTCTACGATACGTGGTTCGCTCGAATCGTACTTCTTTGCGAAACGAACGAAACTCATAGAAAGGCACGTATCGATGGAAATTTTCGTTTATCGAAACGAGAATGGAGAGGCAGTTCTTAATCGTGCACTTAGGATAGTAACTCATGTTGCGAGAGGATTGTGATCCGAATGGACGATTCTTTAATTACTTTGGAGCAGATCGTTAAATACTATCGACATCGTTAAATACTATCACGGAGTTAAATACGAATGATCGAAATTTATTTTTCGATTGTCAAATCACGGTTCGCCTCAGTTCCATTTGATTCTCGTTGCTCGGCAACGATCGATCAACTTACAACGTATATACAGATCTTTAAATAAATAAGAGAGATTCTATCGTTGTAAAAGATATAAATACGATCAAAATAGAAAGAAGAGAAGATGATATATATATATATATATATATACGTATATATATATATATATATATATCATCTTCTCTTCTTTCTATTTTGATCGTATTTATATCTTTTACAACGATAGAATCTCTCTTATTTATTTAAAGATCTGTATATACGTTGTAAGTTGATCGATCGTTGCCGAGCAACGAGAATCAAATGGAACTGAGGCGAACCGTGATTTGACAATCGAAAAATAAATTTCGATCATTCGTATTTAACTCCGTGATAGTATTTAACGATGTCGATAGTATTTAACGATCTGCTCCAAAGTAATTAAAGAATCGTCCATTCGGATCACAATCCTCTCGCAAACGGAGTCAAACGTTACAAAACTCGGAGAATGAGTTTAACAACGATCACGAGTATCGTTATTTCATCCTCGACATTCGATTTATTCGAACGCATAACCGAGAATGGCCGTATTCTCTTAATTGTTTCGAGCAGTGGTATCCGTTTTACCGGCGTAGAAAAACCATCGTAGAAAGTACGATTCCCAATTAGCGTTTCGCTGGCTCCCTTCAGTTCCAAATCGCTCGATCGTACTTTTATATTGTAACAAACATCGTACCTAGTAGTTGGTGGGATTTGGCGAGGCCGGAATCAAAGGAAAAATCGAATCGTCCGAGCGTTCCCTTTTTTTCCCCCCTCCCATCAAATATCCTTATCGAGGCATCCATTATTTTTTTCAAATACTCATGTCGTTCGGGTCGAGACGTTTCGCCTTTCGTTCCCCGGGACGAAACGCAAAAAAAAGCCAACGAAGAAACCGAGAAATCGTAGTACGTGGGTGCGAGTCCGAGCCAGTAGACCCGGCGGTGCACGCTTGGCATTGTTGCGCATTGAATATATATATATGTATATATATACATCATACATACATGTGTATATATATCTATATATATACATACATATATATATATATATATATATAGATATTGTTGTGTGCATCGTACATTGTTCCGTAATGTGTTTGTACTGAAAGTGGCATGTGTAGTATTTGTTTGTTTTTTTTTTCTCTTTCGTAGATTAAGTAGCTAGTATTTAAAATACCTTGTTAATTTAAATTCCCAGGCGAGCCCCGCCTGTTCTCCATTTCCCCCCTCTTCCGTTTCCCTTTCCCTTAAGTTTCTTCCACAAGTAGAGAAAACCTCGATTCTCCTCCCTCTTCACACAATATGCATGTTTACGTGTGTGTGTACGTGTGGTGTGTTGTTTTCTCTTCTTCTCTCCTTTTTTTTTTTTTTTTTGTATCGCTTAAAATATTTTTGGAAAAAAAAAAGAAGAACAGATACATATAGATATATATAAAAATATATAAATATAGAGGGTAGATAGGTAAAATAGATAAACGTTTATACGTCGGAAGAAAGGAAGGTGAAAACGCGAAAGAAAACGAATAAGCACACGAGAGCATTACGTGCAGGCGCAAAAGTAAGGGAGATTAAACGTGAGAAGAAAAAAATATGGATGAGAAAAAAGAAAGGAAAAAAAAGAAGAAAAAAAGAAAGAAAAATCGCAAATCCGAATAGAAATGTAATTTATCCGTGGTCTCTCCCGTCGACGCACAAAGTACAAATAATATAATTAACTTTACGATTATACGATAATCCTGAACGCAACACGGTAATCACGAAATGTACGGCTGGCGTGCCTTAGTTTTTATGTATCACATGTGTAAATAGTGTACTGTAAAATACTGTGATAATATTTATATTACACGTACGTATTATATTGTTTCGCTTAATAATACGGTCCCATGACAGTGTTGGTCGTCGTTTCGTCAAACGATACAGTTAACCGATATACACACGAATGCCAACAATTATTGGCACAAGGTGCCAGTCGTTTGCGAACAGGTAGGTATAAAAAAAAAAACCCGCCTGTTTTAGCGAAGATACCGTTCGATCGACCATTTGATACATAATTCGTACCTTTTATTCTACATCCTGTTTGCCGCGCGGATCACCACGTTGATAACGATCACGAAGACGATGAAGAAACGTACAAAACGAAAGAAAGGAATTTCTGTACGATTAGGTAATAGTTTCGCGTGAAACGTTAAACTAGTTGCGTCGAGATGATTAAAGAAACTAGCCTCGATGAAAGAGGGGTATTAACACGATCGAACCACTTTTAACTTGATTTCTTGCGATTAGCGGCATTGTTATTTAAACAAAGAACGAACAAGTGAGACATTTTAATAATGTGTTTGTTTATATTAATTTTATGTTGGATTTTGTTGTTGCTTTATCGGCGAGATCGTATCGACGCTTTTTTACTTTTCGTCTGTGCGTGAATATAATTCTCGCGATTAGCCTAAACGAGTTGCTACATTTAACTTAATGGTACTTGTTGTCTTATGTAGTTTGAAAAACCACTTCACTTTTGTTTTGTAAATAACGTAGAAAACAGCGGTATCATTCGTAAACGGATGAAGAATAATTCTTAACGCGATAAGACTTCTGTTACTCTTTAAGACGATTTTTATTTTCTCTCTTTTAAAGAATTGACGTAAAATTTCGTATATGTAATTATCGAAGAACGATAATCAGCCCTCGATGCGATAGATAATGGAGAGGAAAAACAGTTATGTTAAGAATTAGAACCAACGAGATGCGTTAAATTATACAAGATTAAATAATAATTCTATCTACGTTGCGATCATTATTGTAAAGAAAGAATATTCCGATCCGCTTGAGAATAAGACACCGATCAACAGTATTCCATTTTGCCAATCATCCCTTCAACATAACTCACAAGGTAGGTCTGCTTCTCGATACGCACGGATTATTCAAATTTAACGATTCTTTTTCAAAATCGTATCTCCTGAACTTTCCTATAAATTGCTTTAATGTTTGACTCTTTCAGACACAAATGTCCCAACGTAGTTTCAAAAGAAAAATAAAGAAAACGCGAATTAATTCTCTTAAGGTGAAAGATGAAATTCTCTTTCGTCTTTCACATCCCTTTCTCGGACTCGAAACAATCTTCCACCCAAAAATTTCCATATAAGGATTAAGAAAAAGAAAAAAGAAACATCTTGGATCTCGAACGTAACAAGTCTGAAAGAGTCGAAGACGATATTTCTGCAAGCCTGCGCGAATAAACGCTAAGCTAATAAATAAAAAGAGACGCAAAAAGCTAGGATGCGCTAAACACCCCGTTAGTACGTAAAAGAAACCGGATCGAAACTTTGTCCACCGTAATGACAATGAAAAAGAAAAAAAAGAAAAGAAAAAGGAACGTTGAAAAGCTCTCTCCCTTGACGGTGGTTTGATACGGTGGGGCACGTTTACGGCGGGGGTTCGAAGCCACGATTTACGATCTAACGACTTAACGATTATGATGCATTTCGCTAAGAGGGCACCCTGGTGGATCGCGGCCACGAGGAAACGACGAAGACAACAGGCGGTTCTCCTGGTGGCTGGCAGGGCGAAAAAGAGAAGGGCAGAAACAGGTGGGGAGTAATCGGATGGAAGGGAAAAGAGAAAGAAGGCGGGGGAAGAGAGGGAGAGAGCAAGAAAGAGGGAGAAAAAGAGAGAGAAGGTATGGAAGGTGGAAGCAGAATACCATATACGGTCACCTTTGTCAAAGCCTGGTTGTCGCCATATACAGGCAATGTTCGCGATGGCAGATACTTATATAGAGTCCAACTTAAGAATCAGGAATGCCGGTTTTTGTCGCGCCTTCTATACACACCCGTGGTAATGGGGGGTACAAATACGACTCGGAAGTGATCGTCGACACAACGCCTGCTGCACGCGGACGAGGGTCGCGAAACCAGCCCTCCCGGCACTTTTGGAAATCCTCCACGAACCGTCACGAAACCACGGCCACCAGCCTTCCGAGCTTACGACTTAAGAGCGATTTGACGCTTCACGGAAGTTGAGACACTCTCTTAGCTTCCGTGTTTCATGCATGGAATGTGATTTGACTCTCGAATTTTTGCGTCAGAGTGTTTTAGCTTCGACGTCGATCGAAAGGACAATTGCGAGCTGTTCGATCGATGATTCGAGTACTTTAGACAACTTTTCGAATTTTATACGTACGTTCATATTAAATTGTAAATATGCTTTGTTTTTTTGTTTTTTTTTTATTAATAAGTGGCTTTTGAAGATGAAGTTTGTTATTTTTTAAAGACGCTTTTTGAGCTTCGATTTTGCTACTCGTAAGTGATAAATGACATATCTCACCGTAGACATAATTGAAGTCTTTGGTGAATGACTGGTTGGAAAGTGGAGCAGTCTAATTAATTGACTCGGTTTCAACTATTTTTGGAATGTTGAACCCTTACAGCGCACTCGAGATCCCTTTCCTTGCTCCTTATTTTTCCGAGGCTAAAGGACGTTTCATTTTTTTCACCGTATACGTTTCTGGGAAACATCTATTTCTTTGGTATATCAGTTTTCTTCTAGAAAACAACGGACGTGATCGAGTTGCTCGATCAGTTAGCGATTCGAAAGTACAGTACTTCGATCAACCCGAATTATTTTCGACATTTTAAATCATCCAAACTACACGAACATCCATGGCAAATTCGTACTTAAAATCAGTATCACTAAATCGTTTCATGCAGTACACTCTACCGTAGTACAAATTTACTACTGACTTAAGATTAACCAAAAAGAAATACAGCTGATCAACGACATCGTGACGAAAGCGTTAATAAAAACTTCTATTCCTATGGCTACGGTAAAACCCGATTTGTCCGAGCTCAGGCGAAAAACATGGAATTCATCGATGCTTCCCATTGCCTGAGATTTCTTCCAACTTCCGACATTAATAATAATAAGAATTCACGTTCTCAAATAAATGCACGTAACTCGGAAAAGCTCGTGAACCAAACTAAGCAGATTCAATCGGATTCAGGAGGACGGTAATTCACAAACTAAAGTATGCAGATTCGTACGAACGAGGATTCGATAGTCCAGGAACCAAGATTCTAACTAGAATTCTACTATCATACGAAATCGTCGAGACTATCTTCCACAACGAAAGAAGCAACCACGAACGGAATAGTTGGCCAAATCGGTGGTTCCCTGGCAGTCGAAAGACGGGCATTTCCTAATTCTCTCGAAGAGCATCGGTTCCTTACTCACGACTGGTCGATTTGCTTTCTCTCGAACGCGACCGTCGGTCGACACGTGTATACACACATGCGTCCTAACGAACGAGTCGAAATGCATGTATAAAACGCACAGGTTCAGCGCACAAACGGTTAAGCCTAGGGAAAAAAAGCTATCCGTCGGTGGTGGCGGTATGACCGGGGGAGAGAAAGTCACCCGGGGAAACCGTAGTCCTGCGTAAATTTGTGAGAATCTGCCGTGGAAGCGCGGTACGAGCTGAGGCCGCGCGGATGGCCATATAAGGCGCGCGAACAAGCTCGCGCATCTCTCCCTGCTAGGTAGGTAGGTAGGTAAGTTGGTTCGTTGGTTGTTTCGTTGGTTGCTTAGTTGCTTGGTAGGCTCCACTTGATTGATTGGTTAGTTGCCCGTTTGATTGGCTCGCCGATATTATTACAGAGGCGTTATCTACGATTTACAGGCTACGAATCGAGCCGAGATGCTTCTCCTCTCTTCTGGCTTGTTTTCTGCTTGTCGCCGCATCGCTCGTTAGGTATCCGGAATTTACGGACCTGATACAGATCGTACGTCATCGTGATATCGTTTTCACGACGTTGTCGCGAAGCTTTGCCCGGTACCGGTCGATGAAACGATCGATCCTGACGATGGTTCGACTTTGATTTTCGTTCGTTTACTGTAATTGAAGTTTCGAACGTTGGGCAAGGAGAAGAATATCGGGTTTTTTAATTAATTTGCGTCGGTTAATTGCAGGTACATCCTATGTTAGGCATATGAATTGTAGGCAGAATTCTAGGAGTAGTGGTTTGTAGAACGAGGCAATAGCCTTGTAACGATGATTCATAAATTTTGTAGCAGGGCGACACGTTCTTGAGAACTTTAATGTATGCAAACAAAATTAAAATCTGATTCACGCTGGCTTCTGACTTTTTTTCTCTTCCCATTTGTTATTCTCTCATCGATTTTATCTTCGCACGAATTAACCAGAATTATCTTCAGGGCTCGTGAACGACGAGTTTTTTTATTTCAAATACGATCAGTGTACGTACACCATTCGTACCAACAAATTTCGTTTCATTGTTCCAGGAAGACGGCACTTCACCTAGATCGGACGTTTGCGCGAACGAAAGCGACGGAGACACCAGCGATGGCGATTCTCCTGTGTCAAAGGATCTCTCGAAAAATCACTCAGGTAAACGTACATACCAAAAACTATCTACCTAGAAACATCCTGCGTATTTCCGTCCCAAGCGAATGAAACTTTTCCCGTCGTACATTTTCAGAAGGAACTAAAGACAATTTACACAGAACACCATGTATGCTCTCGAATAAAGGATTTATTAACGACAAAAGTTCCGTACGTGGAGTATCCTCGCCAACTTTTCCATCCAAGTAGTGGCTGTCTAGTCGAACGTGGATGCTTCCCAAGCGTGGTTTCCTCCCTTCCGTCGTGCTAGAACAATTTCACCTGTCCGTTCCGCGATTCTCGGCCCGTGCCACGCCGAGTACGAAAGACAATCGTACAGCTGCGCATACGTGGCGAGTAATTAACGAATTTCCCCGTGGGCGTAGCAGGAGTCGCGAGTCGCGGACTAAGTAGCAAGCGGTAAAAGCCGTGGCGTGGAAAATCGTTAGAGCCAGGCCGTAGGTAGTCGAGCAAAGGCAAACGTGTACAATCCAATCAGTCAGGTAGGTCGGTAGACAGAGAAAGGGATAGATACGGATAGAACGAAGAGAGAGAGAGAGAGAGCAGGAGAGGAGAGTTTGGCGGAGAGGAGAGGAGAGAAACGTCGGAGAACGAGAGAATGGTATCACAGAAGAGGTAAAACGTATATGATGCGTACGCGCGCGCGATCGCGTGTGAGCGAGCGAGAAAAGAGGGGAAAAGAGAGGGAGAAGATAAAGGAAAGAGGACACTTAAAATGCGAAAAGTGTGCGAGCGATGACGAGGTTATCCGTGTAGGGGAGTACATAAGGAGTTGTACGGGCCGCGATGACCAAACTAAGACAACGACGCGCTGCCTAACTGGGAAGTAAGATCCGGTCGAAAGCCGCGCTCCGATGCAGGTGTACACATAAATATCGATGCTAATATATGGAGTGGATGCCATCCGACTTACCGATCGCATGACGTACGTTTTTTTTCGCCTTTCCATTGTTCCCCGCGGCACAAACAGTCTCCCCGCCGGAATTTTGATAACTCGCCACGCGTTCATATCTCCGACCGGCACGATCCGCGTCCCGCCGATCTTTTACCCTCCGATCGAAACTCGATCGTCCCTTCAAGCTTCTTTCTCTTTTATGATTTTCATTCGCTTGTTCGCCGTTCCGATGATTTGGCTAAATTTTAAATTTGGCTTTCATTTATTACTTTGGATAAGATTATCGACCGATTAGTTAATCCAAAATAAAGGATAAAGATAGATTTCGATGGAACATCGACAGAAGATAAATTATAATATATTTATCCATCGATGTATGAAATAAGAATGATCACTGTATAATAAAGCGTAGATATTTGAATAGATAAGAAGAACCAGGTTCAATTGCACAATTTTACTATTTCAGAGGAAACATTACTCTCTGTTGATGCTTCATCGAATTTCCTCTGAAACAGTTCTTGTATTAGTTTTCTTGATACACAGTTTATTAGACTTTATAGTTTATTTTAATATAAGTGGTGTTCAAACGAGTAATTGTAAAATACGGAAGAGACAGATGCCGAATATAAAAGTTAATTAATCTGTATTTCTAAAAATCTAATAACGTTTTGCGCGCATCTCTGTTTTATGTCATATTAATGATTATGTCATTGCTTTATATCATCCTTCGTATCACGTCGATTACGTAAATATATATTTTTAGCGATGTTTTCGACCTACGACCGATCGATTTAAGTAGTGAAAGAAACCCAAAAAGCAGACGGTTATGAGTGAATCCGTTATACCGCCTCGCTCCGTTCTCTTCCTCTTCCTAAACTTTAGCAAAGAAAAGTATGTGATGCCAAAGATCGTTAACTGTACATTTAGAAACGTCCATTTACTAATTCTAATTACTCGTCCACCCATTAAGTCCAATATCAACCCTATTGCGGCCAATCGGATGCCCGTTTCTTAACAGAGTTTTCATCTTTCGTTCTTGAAATATTTTCACGTCGAAATTTACAAGAAAGTTTGAAATATTGAAGCTTCAAGCTTACTTGTAAACGCGTTGAATAGCCTAGAATGGAATCTAGATTGCCTACGATAAGGGTTGAATCACATCGTTATCGATAAACATTTATTCGTCATAAAATGGCTAATCGATCATCGTGTCATTTCTCATGAAAACGGCCGTGATTCTGTGCAGGTATAATGTACCAGATGCCACAGACAGTAATTTACTCGCCGACTCCGGGGGTTCTACTCGGTATCGGGCAAAACGGCCAGCCAGTGCAAATCTCTCAAGAAGGAGGTGAGAAACCATGATCATCCCCTGGAATCGATCTCCCCCCAAAAAAAACACACACATCCAGCCATCCTCCCGATAGCCGAGCGTTACGAAACGAAACGAAAACCCAGATGGATACCGGCACCTTGCTCTTGCTACAGACGTTTACCCGACGCGAAACGCGTGCCCGTCCTTCCTCCTGTTTCCCCAAGTAGAGGTTTTTTGGCATTGTTTCGCAGGCACGGTAGCCCCGGTTAACTCGACGCAGAGTAATCAGCCGTTCATCACGATACCGCTGAACGTCGCGATGAGTGCCGCCGGCTTGTCGCTTCCGGTTACATCCAGGATGAATCTGTCGCCGTCGCCGCGATCACCAACGACATCGGCCACGTCCAGCTGCGAGCTACCATCGGACCTGAGCAAAGATCGTGAGTGATATATCGCGGATCGAGCCTCGATTAAGAAAAAACCCTCCCCGAAGCTTGTCGCTCGACGATGCAACAAAAGGCTTGACCCGACGAGATTGGACGGGCCATCTTTTTTCCAACGATCGTTTCGGTTCGCCAAAGAAGGTCGGAGCGAACCGTGACGCATACAGAAACTCGGAAATCTCGCGCGGAACATTTTCTCTTCAGCGACGCGACGGGATGACCTGTTTCGATCGTACGTCCGAGCCGAATCGATCCGACGATCGAAATGGACGCGTTCTCTGCGATGCTATCGATACATACGGATAGAATTTGCTGCTTATCGTGTACGATCGACTGATTTGTATTTTGCAAGATGCTGGATTTTGTCGAGATCATCTCCTTTGCGCTCGCGATCTAGCTGGTCGCGACGGTAACGCGTTGCAACGCGGAGGTGCTTGTCATTGGTCGAGGATATTCGTTCGATGAAACTTTGCCAAATTATCGGTACTGTGTTGTATTTTATAGAGGATTGTATAAAACCAGAGAACAAAACAAATTGCAACGATGAATACGTCGAGAGTAAGGGTGGCAAATTTGGATGGATCTTTGCGTACGATATTACGTGCGTAAATTAGCATTGACCGACGATTGGTTGTGGTATGAAATTATCAATGCGCATTGGTATAGTTTTTATTGATACTGGACTTTGTTAGCCGGCGTTTAATCGATATTCGTGCAATACTAGTCGAAGGTTTTACCCAACAACCGTGCCACGAATTAATTGTTCACACTGTCTTCGTAGAATTCACTGCCTTTCCAGTTATTATTTAACGTTTCGTAAATTACTTAACAGAGAGGAAAGGAATTCGATATTTTTTCAAAGGTAAACGTTATATAGCGATATTTGAAGATTCGTGGGATTGGTGAGTCGAACGAGACGCATTCGAGTGCAGTAATTTGATAATAATAGAAAAATGAGCAAGTAATAATAAAATATCGAAATTTTAGCGATACATTTTATGTATCACGTGTGTTATGTACTATAATTGTATATATATCAACGATTTGAAGCTTGTAATTTTTAACGTTTTCTTCTTTTGCAACGTAAATCATCACGAAACGATTACAGAACTTACAGGTTTATAGCTCGAAGCGGTACATCATTCGACTGCGGCGATTCGTTCGCAATTCTCATCCTAGGAAACGCAAATTCATACATATGGTTGTTCGCGAATTGTTTGAAAGAAAAGGGAGATAACTAAAGAGAGATATCGAAGATCGATGAATCGTGTGGCGATGATGACTTCTCAATCGTACAGGGTGCTTCTAAAAATAATCTATAAGCTAGCGTTATCGTTTTTTTGAGCTATAGAGAAGAAAATATTCGATATATTTTCTAACACGGAAGTGCGATTAACCAAAGACCTTTTTGGTTTATTCGAATTGTATTATTTATATTAGCTTACCCGGATAATGATTCCTCGAGAAACAACGACGTGTTCGCGGTGTTACTGAAACATAGAAATTACACAAATTCCTCGTGAATCAGTCACAGAATGTAAAAGGCGATAATAGTGTCTCGAGATCGGGTTAATTAACCGAACCGTTCAATCGGTCAGTGATAATGTTGGCAATCGTAACCGTTCGTTTATACGATCATAATGTTTAATCGTTAACCGTAAAATAGCGATAAGCACGCATCATTATCAGTCAAATTGATTCAACAGTATTTTTACTCACACAGTAATCTCTATTTTACACGATATGGAAATAAACCATCAGCTTGTGATAGATAACACGCGAAAAGCTTGTATTTTTTTTTTACAATGAACCTATGATTTTTACACGGATAGTACTATCGACACGTGCGAGGAACATTGTCAAACTTACCAAATGAATTTCTTTCTTTCTTCCTTTGCTTTATTAAACGATTTTAAAGACGTAACGCTTCCCTTTAATGCGAATTTATTTTGCTTCTCTAAATTTCATCGATATTATTTGGGATAAACGTTATTAGGTCATGAAAGTATTCTGGAATGGTACCTGCTTGTTGAAAGAAAAATTAGAAAGAGCGTAGTTTAGAAAAGAAGCAAAATGACGATGTACTTTTTTTAAAAATTATCGAATTTTTTATGTATTTTATATATTTATGTCTAATCGATATTATTTGATAGTGCCTTCTTAGAGAATTAAAAGATGTTGGAAAAAGTTGAAGAGAAAAACTTTAATATTACACTTATAAGTACTATGTGCTCCTTAGAATGAATTTTTTAAACTTAATGCAAATGTATTACGAATTTTATTAACTTTTCTCATTAGGTAATGCTAGTCAAAAGATCGTATTATACCTAGTCATTGAAATGTGCAATGAAACATAAACAAGCATTTAATTTTTGTATCGTAACATTGCTCGAAGCAGCTGCAGAATGTAATAAAGTTACTCGATGAAAATTAAGAAACTAAAGTATAAAATCTGATAAAAATTTTAATGAAACTCTAAATTGAAGGAACCAATCGCGGAACTTTTAACAATCTGTTTCGATAGAAATTTATATCATAAACGAGATATTCTATCGCCTGTACATTGTATAAAATTATCCTAACATTGTTTTGAGCAGTGAATACGTTGTATGGATTGCCATAAGAATAAGAGATTTATAATATGAACGATAGTACGATCCGTGGGATAATGTGAAAGATTCTTATGCCAAAATCCATACATTCTCGTCCAAAAGGGAATACCGTTGTATCATGCATTTATCATAAATATCTTGAAAACATCAAATTTCACTTTATATCTTTCGAAATTTTCGACACTGGCCTGTTCAAACGAATTACATGACGGAATTCAGGCATTTCATTTATTATTTCATCCTGTTATCGATTAAAATAATCTTACGTCAAATAGTGGAAGTTCGATTTCGTTTCATTTTATACCTTTCTTGATCATAAATATATTTCATATACAGTAGTACGTAACTCGTTTTTAAAAATGTTTCGCTAAACTTCGTTCTTAAATACTTTGCTTTTGTTGTAAATAAATAATACGTGAAACCTGTATAGTAAAGATTCATAAAACAAATACTCGCGGTTTTACGAATACCAAACTGATTTTTCGTCACCCTGCGAATCGGCGACAGCAACCTAAAGTTCTATTTTAACTTCGTTAGATAATTTTTGATATTGAAAAACGACTTCAGTTATTCCAAGAGAATGATAAAAATTACTTATAACCTTCGTGCTTCCACGTGCAATAATTACATCGATAACTACCGTAAACAATTTTCTCCTATAATAAGAAATATCCAAAAAGATAAGGTACACAGCTCTCTGAAAATTAAGCATACGTATACATGATGCACATCGACCTATTCAAATGCGAATGGAATTCACCTTAATCTCGCGTTATGTAAATTAAAATCGAAATGAAACAGCAAAAAGAGGAAAATTCAAACAATAATTTCTACATTCTGTTATCGCACAAATGCACACATACTTTTTAATGCCGCACCATGCAATATTACAAGATAATTATAGTTCGTAAAACGCATGCTACTCGAGAGAGTGATTTTATGATCACATATGAAAATGATATTTACAACAGCTAAGGTATTTATAAATCGTTCACCAGGCAAATATGGTAAAATAATAATGGGACGAAACAATTCGAGCGTTATGACTTGTGTGTACACGTGTAATTATGATGGAACTTTATCGAAGTGCTAAAGGAAGATGGAATAATGTTTGAATGGAGAAACACGTGAAATGCGTTTGTGAACTATCTATATTACTTTCGAAAATTTTACTTCGTTTTTGTGCGTTATTGTTATCTACGCTTAACGAGTGTTCTTTACTTTCTTCGTCGATTATATTTCTTTACATTCGATGCAGTAAAATTAGAAAATTTGACGATAGTATAAGAATCATTGGTTTTCACGAAATGTTATGTTTCGGATGTAAAGACGAGCAATTAATATCTAAAAAATGAAGAGTAACACGCGAATAATGTCTTATGAACCTCATAAAGTGCAGTACCTCGAAAAATTCGATGGCCATGGCTCGAGCTTAATGTTTGTATAATAGTAGAGAAATTCGTATGTTCAGCATGTCCGTTGGGAATCCAGATTCTCGACCATCGTCGACGAATGACAAATTTAAATGCGTTCTATTTTATATACAATTTATATATACATATCTATGTAATATACGCTGCGAGGGTTGTTTAAATTTTTCTGGGATTTTATAATTTTCTTATGAATAAAGACATTTGAAGAATATCACAGGTATTTTATGTAATTTTATCAAGACAAATATCAGTACAAAATTTTGAATTTCTCAAGTAGTTATATCAGAGATTATTCAATATTTAATGTAAATTACAACTTATTCCAGTTTTTCCAATCCTTATATCTCTGTTAATAATCTAAAGATATTTTGCCTATTCTTACAAATTCACCGACACATAATCGTTAATTCGTGATAAATAAACGTTAAACTCAAAGATTTCTTATATAACAAAAGTCTTGTACACTTATCATAATAATTTTAAAAAATGTTTGAAAAATATTATATAGCAAACTTTAATATTTCCATGTATGCGTATGATGTACATAAAATGGTAATATTACAAAGATCATTCAATGACTCAACCAATCTGTTATACATAAAGGAAGAGAAAGAACTCCTGAAATATCAGAGAAATACATCTATGGTAAAAAAATCGAACCAAATCATTGATTATGTAACAAATAATTATATTCATAACAATCGCAATCATACTATAGATAAAATTGCAACAACCCTCGGCTATACATGAATTGCAATGTTTTTTTATTACTTCTCTACTGTAATATATATTACAGCATGAAGAATGTTTGTAACGAATGAACATATGTAGACATATCGTTGTTTTTTTACACTAACTTTACGTAATGTACCGATCATGTAACATTGTTAGAATTGTTGTGACGAATACGTCGGATATGAAGAAATGAAATATAATTATTCGAATTACAATTTTTGTGGATACTGTGGGTTTTATATCAATTGTACGAACCAGAAGTTATTATTTCCGATCCTTTTATATATTTTAATTGTTTTTCACATCCTTATCTTTATTTAATTAATCAATACGAATTTATTATTTATACCTAAACTTAAAAAAATATTTAAAAATTGAAGACAAATTACTTTAATTCAAGAAATTGACTGAGAAATTGAATCCTTCTTGTTACCTAAAATAACACTTCAATTAATTCGGCCATAAGATGGTTGTATAGCAATGTCGATAAACTCATACACAAATGGTAAATCAACTCACTGTGTATATATCCCTATTCGTAATAAATATACTGTGACTGTATAAGCGTATTTTACCTTATTTCGAAGCGCAACATATGAATAAAATTTAACTAAAACCAAGGTATGTAATTCTATTTTTCGCTAATTATTGAATATTAGTTAAAAATACAAGAAATTCTAATTTAACGACAATATCTGGACGAAATACATTAATATTAAATGTAATTTTCAAATTAAAAATGCAGAGTCTATTTATTATAGCAGCGAATTTTATTTCTCTTAAGAAAGAATCGTTAATTAACGATTTAACGCTCCATGTGATTTTATCATATATGTATATCATATATGTAAATGGAAAATTTTGGAACACATTAAGCGATTTTAAAAACAGATGTTTTAAGACGAAGGAAATCGAATCGAAAATTCGATTCGATATAAAAACGTGTAAAGCGTTCCTTTGAACAATGTTGGCAGCAGGTAGCAAGTATCAAGGTGTAATGGACCGTCATGGCGACGTTACCGCCGCGGAAAAATCCAACTCCGACGAAGATTTTAAAACAGCATTTAACCCCGTTGCAAACGCTATTACAATTAGGTTTTCCGAAACATCGAGCGTGAGTATTAGAGTAAGATTGTAAAACACTATCGATACCTCTTTGCTATTCTACGAACAATTGCATGCGATTATAATGCATTCAATGTAAACAAACAGCTGTCAAACATTAAGTACCATTGTTATTTTCTTCTTGTCTTTGTTGATTCGTCATTGCCTATGCTTATCATAAAAATTTAACATATATACTTCTTTATCGTTATCTTCTTTTTGTTTTAATAAATCGATGTACAAAGTACGTAATTTCAAAAAAATTCTATACTTTTATTATGTAATCATAACGCGACTGGAATTATTTGACTAATTGTATAATCTGTAACAATTTAAATAAATATTCTATCGGTTCTAGAGAGAAAGCATTAGCTGCTACAGGACATCGAGGTGTTCAACTTGCATCGGATTGGCTAGTAGCTCATGTTAGAGATCCAACTTTGGATTCTGACACCCATAGACAATATGTTTTGTATGCTTGTCCTACGGGTGAATTAGCTGAGCAACTTATGAGATTTTGGTCAGAGAGTAAAGAACTCGTATGGAATGGAACACATAATTATGTACCACATATTACGCTTGTATCATTTTTCAAGGTATAACATCGTTTTAACAATACATGTAAATAAAAGTCACAAGTAGTACAAAAACATCTTTTTGCAGGCACCAGATGAATCTACCGAGGAATTGGTAAACGCGCTTGAAAGTATAGTTAACCAAGATGAATTATCAGATAATATTGAATTAGAAACTTATATTTCTCCTAATTTTATGGGTCTATTTGTTAAGGAAGTAAATACAGAATGGCTAAAAAACATAGCCATTTGTTATGCAAACAAACTTTCAAGTTTGGGAATTTCTGCAGAACCCCAAATAAAATCTTTGCATTTGACATTGGCTTATCAATTTCCCAGCAACTTATATCAACAATTGCGCTTGATGGTGGAGAAATTGACACTCGTTTGTCCAACTAATTGGGAACTTAGATTATATTCCAGAGATTCTAGGCTACAAAATGCACATGTACATAAAGTGACACATCCTCACATGCCTAGGGAACACGATGAATTAGAATTGAGAGTGGGAGATTACATTTACATTCCAGAAGGGGCGTGTAGTCTATCTACAGATGGTTGGGTTGAAGGTGTCTCTTGGCTAACTGGTATTTCAGGGCATTTACCTTTGAATCATACAAAACGTACAGCTGAATCAGATTCATGGACTTTACATTCTACTATACAAATTACTGACAATAAAAGTGGAATTTTAAAAAAAGAAGAAATATCCCCAACTCGGAAACCACCAATATTGTTATCGAGTGATTCTATAGACAGCCCTGATGGAGTAGCAACAGCTACTGAACCAGTAAATAACATCAATTACCTATTATTTATTTACATATAAAAATTCGAATTCTAATCTTTCATTTTACTTCTACATATACAGATTGAAGCTTCTGAAGCACCTCCAAGTTCCTCAAGACAAATTTTTATATGCCGTCATGGAGAAAGAGTAGATTTTACATTTGGAGCATGGATTCGTTATTGTTTCGAATCAAATGGATCCTATGTTCGTAGAGATTTGAATATGCCAAAGGAAATACCATCAAGAAATATACAGGACTTTCGAAATGATAGTCCTTTAACAACTGTAGGTGAAGTACAAGCAAGTTTGGTAGGAGAAGCTATGAAATCATCTAGTATTAAAATAGACGTGGCTTTTACATCTCCCTCATTAAGATGTATACAAACATTGGCCCACATTTTAAAAGGATTAGATTTAAACATTCCAATGAAAATAGAGCCAGGTCTCATAGAGTGGTTAGCATGGTATCCAAATGGTGTCCCTGTTTGGATGACATCTGAAGAATTAATAAAAGCAGGTTTTAACGTAGATAAAAGTTATAACCCAATTGTTAAAGCAAAAGATCTTCCATTGAAAGAAAATGCAGCCCAGTATTATGAACGAAGTTATGAATTAATCAAACAAATTATTGAAAATACAGTAGGAAATATTCTAATAGTAGCTCATGCTGCTTCTTTGGCCGCTTGTACCAGACAATTAACAGGTGGGAAAGTGCCACCAGCTTCTGAAGTTACTAGATTAGCACAGAGAGTACCATATTTAGCATGTTTAACAGCACGTGAAGGGTTGGATGGTTGGCAACTTCATCCACCTCCTTTTCCTCCTATAACCCATACCAGTAATACTAGATTTGATTGGAAAGTATTATTATAAAAAGTAATTAATATTTTAAATACAGTTTTTCTCTTTTTATCTTTTAAATTACTAAAGCTTAAATCATTAAAGACTATGCAGATGCAATGAATTTTTTGTAATATATGTATTTTAATTTATATAAACTACATTAGAAAGAGGGAAAAAGTATTAAAAAGATTATTTTCTGGGTTGGGTTATTTATAACATAATAAAAAATATGCCAGTCATCTATTCAATATTTAAAACAATTAACATTTGTAGGGCAATAAATACGGGTATTGATTTTTTTAATTCTACCTTTTCTATAGAGATATGCTAAGTAAGATATACATTTAAAATGAATGTATGAATTAATATTTTGAAAAAGATATATTCTCATAGATTTCGTACTGGTCGTTTAGAAAATGTTTAGTAAAGACTAAGTATAGTATTTATAACCTTTAACAGGCAAATATTGAGAGTTTATTCAGAGTTTTTAAGAATGTATTTAAAAGATTTAAAAATTGAAATTAAAAAATTGGTTATATGATGATTTGCTGTAATGTTAATCACAATTTGTAAAGTTCATATGGTTATTGAATCAATCTATTATTTATTCAAATGTTTAAATCTGCATGTATTTTGAACGTATTATTATATACGTAGAATATATAATCAGACTTAGGATCTGTTACTACTATGTTTAGTAAAGGTTTACTTTATTCTTGCAAAAAATCTATGTGTACGAAAATTACAAAAGTCAGTAAATAATAAAATTTTTCCACACACTGTACAGGTCTATGAAACAATAGTTGGCATGAATAATGTGTGAAGAAATAGAAGTACAAAATTAATGTAGAAAAATAATGTTATTTACCAAAGAAATATATAAGATGTTATTTCATTACAAATACCAGTTATATCATGAAGGGACCTATTATTTTATTTACTGCAGAAAAAGTTTATTCAAGTGTAATATATAACATACCATAATGTATAAAAAATTTTCTATATAAAGATAGTAAAAATGTAATTATATATTTATATATGTATAAACAACATCAATATAAAACAATATGAAATAATTTTTAAAAAATTTTTCAATAACAATATATATAATTACACATGTCCACTTTCCTTTAATTTTGCAATTAATGTATCAACATCTGGTACAATAGTTCCAGCTTGTCTGACTGGTGGTTCTTCGACTGACAAAATTTCAATCCTTGCTGAAGTATCTACACCAAGATCTTTTGCTGTTAGTTTTTTAATTGGCTTTTTTTTTGCTTTCATAATATTTGGTAATGTGGCATATCGTGGCTCATTAAGCCGAAGATCAGCACTTAAAACTGCTGGCATTTTCATTTTAATAACCTCTAAACCTCCATCAACTTCACGTGTTACGGTTAGTTCACTATCATTTCTTTCAATCTGTTACAAAAAAACAATCTATATTAGAAGATACTTGTAAAATATGTTGTTTAAGGTCTTGCTCAATTAACTTACCTTACTACAAAATGTACCAGTTGGCCAATCCAAAATACCTCCAATCATTTGTGCAGTTTGGTTACTATCATCATCTATAGCTTGTTTTCCAACAATAATTAAATCTGCTTTCTCATCCTGAGCTAATTTGGCTAATATTTTGGAAACATGAACAGGTTGTAAAGTTTCATATTCAGATCCAGATATTTCAACATGAATGCCTTTATCAGCACCCATTGCAAGTGCAGTCCTTATCACATCTTGACATAGTGGAGGACCACATGAAACTGCAATGACCTCCTCTACTAATTTCTTTTCTTTCATTCGTACAGCTTCTTCAATTGCAATTTCATCAAAAGGGTTCATTGAATGTTTCACTCCATCTGTTATAACACCTGTTTTATCTGATTTGACACGAATCTAAAAATAAATAACAAAATATAAAAATGTTATCTATAGTTGATAATATTTGAAACAATATATGTACACATTTCTTAAGAAATATAATTTTAAATTATTTAAATTTATAATATTCATTTTTTATTGTAATATAAATTTTAAATGAATCTACGAATTACATAGTACATAAGCATAATAGCTTTCCATTGATCTACAATCTATACTATATACTATTTCTCATTTATTATTACATTACTGATAATTACCTTAACTGCATAATCGATAACTCTCTTTACACCTACAAGTGCTCGTGTCATTGTTAATTAATAAAGAGGTCGATAAATTATACAATTACAAGTTATAATTTTTTTTTTCACGATATTTATCGAGGTGTTTACAGAACTACTTTAACCTCTCATGTGCTATATACGGTGTATGTAGTCTGACTATTTTATTGACTTGCTTAACACTCTTCACTCTTCACTCTGTTACTTGGTAAATGGTCTAAAGTTCATTGTTGCTTTGATATGTTATAAATGCCTGTGTTGATTTCATGAACATATTTTCATATAGTTCGCGCTGATGTAACTGCGAACGTCATAACATGATCATTTCAGATTTTAGATTAAATAATCAAAAGATTGCTTAAAAAATAAAAATATAAAAATAATGTCTCGAATTTGCAAACCAGAATGTAAAACTCATATTAAACATGGCTTGTTTTTGAAATAACTTTTTTCATAGATCCTAACTTATTTATGATGGATGAAACAGCGAGATTTGTAATCGTGTATATATATATATATATATATATATATACAATTAGTGATGACATTTTTATCTGAATCAAATTCATAAATAATTTACAACAGTACTTTTTGTTTTATGGCTTTATTCCGTATAGTATATTACACGTTAAGGCAATTTTCCATTTTTCAATGTACATATATATATATATAAATAAAATGTATGTTACATGTATCTCTTAAATAAAACAGTAAGGAGATGAATCATACATTTTAGTTCAATTACTGTTGTTTTATCGTTCAAAAAGAACATAATGTAGATGATTATATATTTTTTTAAAACGACTAATTTGAATTATTTCAATGGGCATTATAATTATAAATCACAATATCAATTATTCCTAATATTAAATAATAAGGATTTTTATATAAATCATTCAATACATAAAATATACATATTAACTACTGCTACGAAATTAATTTATTCCCAGATTAACAGATACTTTAATATTATAATTTAAGGTATTAGCTAAAAAAATGATCGATGCAGTTCGGTTCTTTTGATCTAATACATGAACCATGTAGAATAACGAAATTTTCGTTGGATGATTCGAATATTCATTCGACTCAATAAATTACATATATGTACCTGTGAAGTAAGTCATAAATCATTAACTATTACTACTTTATATATAATAGCATTTTAAATATTTGATAAACCCCTTTTTTAAAGCATGATATTTTTAACAAAAGAAAGAAAGAAATTTTCGCAATTTTTCCATTTGCAGAATATTACTAACAAACATGCTGCTTTTAAATCAATGAAAATTTTAGCACACATCCGTTTCAACAAATGAAACTTTCGAAGTGCATGAAAATAGTTACATACAATTTTCATACTCCAATAGAATTAGAATAAAAGAGATTTTGAGCGATCGCTGTTGCACCAATCAGAATGAATATGAAATCAAGTTTGCGCCACACATGGCGTCCAAGAACCGACGCCATCTAACGTCTGGCATTCCTGTTTTTTTCGTGCGGGTAAAATCACGGCTTTCTATAGCGCGCAAGCCTTTATCGTTTTGTTTTGTAGAATACGGTAAGTTAAGTGGATATCTTTGATAAATCGACTATGCTACGCGTATGCCGAATGAAATGTTAGCTGAAAAAAAGCGTTCACGCGTTAAAGAAAGTGTGTGGGAAAATGAGTTAACCGTGTGTTAACGCGCAGTGGTCAACTATCCGTGCAAGTTTAGCAAAGGAATATATATCCATATTCAGGACGTGATAACGTCGAGGTAATTAAATGTTAATTTTTGAGATTGAAAGTATGCTTTGATTCTCCAAATATTTATAGAATCTAAATCCATTGAAAGTTTCCTTCGTGTTTATGTTTACTCCTCTAATTACCCCCTCCCTCTTCAGCCACCTTCTGTGCCTCAATTCTTATTGAGATTCTCCCTCGTTTTCTTCATGCTTTATACGAGTGTTTTCTTTTTTATAGCCTTGTTTCTTTGCCTTTTTCTTAATCATCATATGGATTTGGTATCTATCTCATATGTTTGTTATTACATTGATTACAATAACCAAACTGTGGAAATCGCTATTTATGTTGATGAAATGTTAGCTCCGCTTTGTTGAATTATTCTTGATATTCTTTTGATATTTTGATGAAGAATGCTAGCATACTACCAAACATAAAATAATTATATATCAATAGTTTTGCAAACGTTATTCATATATATATATATTTATTTCTTAATATTTCTATATTATAAATGTATATTTATGCATAGCTAATTTCAACTAATTGACATTGGCTTTTTATAAGTATATAGAAAGACGTATTTAATCAGTGAAAAATGAGCACATCGGCCATAAAATCAACGATACCTGGAGTAGGTACATCCCCAACTTCTACCAGTCATTCTATTCTTCCCATGAATGCAATGGCACAGAAAGTCGTATCAGGATCAGAACCAGGATCTATGAAGCCTTTACCAGGAACTGGATTAAGCTATGTTACATTACAACCACCCAGTCAACCTTTGAGCTTAGTACAAGATCATAGACCTTCTGTATATCAAACACCACCTTATGTAAGCAGCAATTCTGAAAAGGAACCAGACCTGGATAAATTAATCCCTAATGGAGTAGAGATTATGAAAACTGAAACAGAACAGAATATGTCTGTTTCTATAAAGCAGAGTGAATCTAACAGAAATAATAATTTAAGTCCAGATAATCCTACACAAGATTCACAAAGAGATGTTCAAACAGAACAAGAGATGACACCTATCAATTTAGATTTTCCTGGTTAGTAAAAATATAAATTTCTTATTAATTTAAGTATGTAATTAATTTTATATTATGTTTTGTTCATCGAATGTACTTCAATGTTGCATCACAGATATTTTTACTTACATGTATATCATTGGATATAATAATTCAACAAGTTATTTACATATATTGCACATTGAATTTATTAACATTATAATGCATGTAAAAATGTACAAATATAATATACTTACCTATATCTATGCATATATATATATATGTTACTTTAGCATTATGTCCACAATTACAAAACAAAATTGAAGAGAAGAAAACTCCTGTAAATAATGGTTCGAAAGAATCTGACGGAATTCCAATTAATACAAATTTACAAACAAAATTGTCATCACACAAATCAGAAGATGGGTCAGTAAAATCTGATAGTCAGAAGTCAAAAACCACAACTCAAAGTACGAAACTTGTGGCAGATAATTCTGCATTACCACAAACAAATAATCCACCAAAGGTTGAAACAAAGGTCACTGGTTCGCCAAAAACAAATAAGAGAAAGTCTAGGGAATTGAAAGATTTAAGGGGAACTTCAGCAAATTCGGATGGAGCAAGCAAACCAAAAAGAAATCGAATTCAAACACAGCCTTATCAGAGTCCATTACCAGAAATTGCATTGCTTGTAAAAAATTTAAATAAGCCTCCACCATCGAAAGCTTCTGACGACAAACTTATAGTATTCTATAAGTAAGTATGAGTCATATGACATTTCCAAAAATGTAAAATATGATGTAATGATGAATAATAATAAAAAGTTTAATCTCTATACAAACTTTCATTCACAAATATGATAATTTACATTGGTTTTGAACATAAATATAAGCAAAATTAATAATGTCATCACACGCATTAACTTTTATTGATATTCATTATTAGAAATGAATTTTTGGCTGTGAGAAATGCGGAAGGAAGTTTCTACGTATGTCAAGCAATGCAAAATATATATAAATCTAGCAGAAGAATTCGTATACGTTGGCTTTCTCAAGATAAAAACAATGGTGAAATATATTCACCAGATTTTTATGATTATATAGGTAATATATAATAGTTATTAAATGTCATGTACACTTGGCTTATATTTTGTAATATTTGTTATGTTATACGATGCAGATTATGTTTATTTTTTTCTTTTTTTAAATTTCAGATTTCGACTGTATATTAACAAATTTAAATTTAAACAAAATTGACAAAAATAAATTCCAGCTAACCAAGATTGAATTATTACGTACAGAAAATATTTTGAAAAGAGCAATTGATGTTGAAGCAGGCGTGTCCGAAAAACCTCGAGTAACAGAAGAACACCCAGATGGACGTTAGTATTTTTATATACTATTTATATAAACTTTTACAAAAAATGTTTAAATGTCATTTATTAATGTTACTAAAATTTTGTGTCTGTTCAGCTTTAATAGATTTTATTGATAGCGTTTAGTTTATTCCATTATTTCTTGTTTCAAAGTCAATAAGATTCAGATTTAATATTACTTGTTTCTTATTTATATTCTTGAAATTTTGTAAAAATATTTCATAAAATTGAAATGTTAATATCTTATCCACAGTTGACCTTTCACTTTATAAAGATGAGTCACAATTAAAGAGAAGAAAAAGTCACAACTTGCATAAACAAAAACAAAGTTTGCGTAAGAAATCAAAACGAACTGAAAGCTTCTCTGAAGATGATGCTACCGAAGAAGAATCAGGAAAGAAATCACCTAAATCGAATCGTTCTAAAAAGCGAACAGTTAACAAAGCTCTGGCTATTGCAAAATCTGTTGCAAAGGGATCTAGTAGAGCAGAAAGAGCATTGAACAGAAATACAAAGTCTGGAAGTGAAACTACTGCAGCCACTACTAATAGTACTGCAACTACTACTACCACTACTACTACTGCAACTGTAACTACATCCGCAACACCAATAGATGCAATTAAAAATAATACTGATGTTAAAAAAAGTGAAAATAAAAAGAGCACAAAGCAACAGAATAATAATAACGCAAGTGGGGTTTCAAGGACGAAACTACGTGGTAAGAAGTTCTCATTAATGTTATGATATTAATATAGTCTCCATACCTATCAATATATTGGTATAATTTTTTTCTAAAACTATCATAATTTACTTTTTAGCTTCTGTACAAAACACACAACAAAGTAACAAAACAGCAGGTCGTCCAAAGCGCATGGCTGCAACCACAGGTGTTGCGCCAACCGAAGAAGCGGCTTCTCGAAAAAAGCCACGTGGGCGAGCATAAGATTAACGTAATTTACTTGTATTTCCTGTACTGCATCTAGAACAGAATCTGCATCGTAGGCAATATGTACACGTAGTACACTCTTTAAAAATTGCGATCGATTTATAATGTAATATATATGATCTTATTATCTATCAGATGCTGCATTATATTATAGTCCAACAATGTGGGATCAACAATTTATATTACGATGCGGCAAGTCGCATTTAAACGAAGAAAAGACTCAGAGACTTATAAGAGTGAT